AAAAAGCTGATGACTAGGTTGGTTAAACATGAACATGCTGCATGCATTTTACCATAAAACATCATTAAAATTACACAAAGGGATCTTTTTCTTAAAAGCTTAAAGATAAAAAAAGAAAACAGGAAGGAGACAGCAGAAAGAGAGAGGCCAACAAAATTTTGGAAGCTGGAAAGCAGATGCACTAGTGATAACTTCAAACGCCTCCAGTGGAATGCAGCAGATTCCTACCACAGAATCTCAAAAAAGGCTCAGAAATTGGAGAAACCCAGTACCTCCTCTGGATAAAGGAGAATATGAAGGACTAAAACAGGGGAATTGGTTGAAAATCTGAGTAAGAAACAGAATATTCCATCCTCTTTCCCTTCCCCATTCTGCCAAGCAGAAGACTGGAGTTGAATCAGAGGGCCTTTGAACCAGGGACCAGTCAGAACTAAGGGCAGGAGCACCAACCTGAACACAGGGGATTAAATAAAAGTCTAACTTACTCTCCTTTCCCCATCTCTCTTCTCCAACTTGGCTCCAGAAACACGAGATGCTGGGTTTATACTCTCCAGGCAAGAGACTGGGAGATCCACTGTGAGGAAACTAACAACCCACCAATTCACGGAAGTGATGCCCACCACTTGATAAGCCAGGGCTTCATACCAGAGCATATTGGTACCTCACTGATTTTTCATCTTTTTAATTAAAAAAAAGTTTATTGATTTTAGGCGGGGGTGGGGGGGGTGGGGAGAGAGACATGGACGTAGAGAGAAATATTAACTGGCTGCCGCCTTCCATACACACCATACACACTCTGACCAGGAAGCAAACCAGCAACCTAGGCACGTGCCCTGACCAGGAATCAAGTTCCCGACCTTTTGGTGTACAGGACAACGCTCCAACCAGTTGAGCCACACTGGCCAGGGCTAGTACCTTATTCCTAAAAATGAACAGATAGCCAAGAATTATCAGACATTTGAAGAAAACCTCTGAAAGTAGGAATCAAAGTAAACAAACAAAATGGAATTCCTGACAACATGAACAAATATTTAGGAAATTAATACTAGATGTTAGTACAACAGAAAATATGGAAGAGCTAAGGAAATCTAAAAATGGATTAAGTAAAAAATAAAATAAAAATAAAAATTTGCAAGGAGAAAATAGAGGACCAGTCTAGGAGTTTCACCATCTGGATAACAGGGGTTTCCAGAAAGAGAGAGGAAATAAATAATTATGGAAGAGGGAATACATTATCAAAGATATAATACACCCAAAGAATCGCGGTTCAATTTGCAGTCAGGGCACATGCCTACCTGGGTTGCAGGCCAGTTCCCAGCAGGGGACGCATGAGAGGCAACCATACATTGATATTTCTCTCCCTCTCTCCTTCCCTTCCCCCCTAAAGACAAATAAAATCTTTTAAAAAAAAGATATAATACAAGAAAACTTCACAGAATAGAAATAAGTTTTAGACTCAAAAGGCCCACTAAATGCCAAACATGGTGAATTTTTAAATATCCACACCAAGGCACAACATCATTCTATTTCGGAAAACTACAAGTCAAGACAAGACCCTTAAACCTTTCAGAGAAAAAACAGACCCTACACAAAGAACCCAGAATCAGAAGAGCATCAAACCTCAGAACACCATTACTGAAAGTTATAAGACCACAAAGCAAGGCTTAAAATTTCCAATGAGATATGACCTCCAACATAACATTATATTTAATCAAATATCAACTAGCATGAAGGTAAAAAAGAGATGATTTAGAAATGCAAGGCCTCAAAAGAGGCACCCTCCCCCCGCTCCCCGCAATGGTTCCTTTTTCATAAAGACTCTGGAAGAGGCTCCACTAACGTGTTTGAATGTACTGAAAAGAGATTTATACTTCTGCCTGAGTTTAGGGATGAATCACTGATTAACAGTCAGTAAATCAAGCAAAAGAAAAAAGAAAGGAAGGAAGGAAGGGGGAAGGAGAAAGAGAGGGGAAAAGAAAAAAAAAGAATGGCAATTATATATTTAGGGAAAAATGTATAAAGAAGGTACTATAATCACAGTACACATAGTCATTTTATTACATGCTAATTTTTTCCTTTTTAGAGAGAGGGGAATGGAGGGAGAAAGAAGGAGAGAAACATCAATTTGTGAGAGAAACATCGATGGGCTTCTCCTCGCACACCCCCAACTGGGGACCTGGCCTGCAACCCAGACATGTGCCCTGACTGAGAATTTAACTAGTAACCCCTTGGTTCACAGGCAGGCACCCAGTCCACTGAGCTACACCAGCCAGGGTCTAGTTTTTTCTCTTTTGGTAACATTTACCACTATTCTCTTCTAGACTCATGGGGTGGCAGGTGGGAGGAGGCCGGAGGCCTGGAAACTACATTCCCAGAATCCCATCAATGGGGTTGTGATTTAAATTCTGAGAATACAAGTCATTCACTTAAGATCTGGAAGATAGGAAAAATGTAGATGCCACTACTGCTCTTCTGGTAGCTGTAAGAAGGTATGTGGCTTTGGACAGATAAAACATGTAGTTTGCTGCAGTTGCCAATATTCTGCAAATTGCCTGCTCTGGTTTTTAAAGCAGTCGAGATTATTAATGGTAGCACTTTCTTACAAACCCCTGTAACCCAGTTTTCCCTCATCTGTTCCCATGGCCTTCCAATAGTTTTATAAGCATCTAATATCCTCTTTGAAATATCAAGAATGGTTTGTTTTTCTGATTGAATCCTGATATATACTATAAAAACACAAAACACTGACTTAATCAAGACTGTGATGTTCTACATTAGGAAGCTAGCAGAAAGGCTTGAGGGTAGGTAGAAGTGTAAAAATGCAAAATCATATTCCATAGTAAAAATTCAATAGGTGATATCGATGAATAAAAAAATCAATAAATAATAGTATAAGTATAACTATGTAAAAACAAAGATAATACACATTAGGAGCCCTGGCTGGTGTGGCTCAGTGAATTGAGTGCCGGCCTGCAAACCTAAGGGTTACTGGTTCGATTCCTAGTCAAGGGCACATGCCTGGGTTGCAGGCCAGATGCCCAGTGGGGGAGTGTGCAAGAGGCAATCACACATTGATGTTTCTCTACCTCTCTTTTCCTCCTAAAAATAAATAAATAAAAACTTAAAAAACAAAAAATACACATCAGGAAAAAAAACACTAAAAGTATTAAAAGTAACAGAAGATGAACAAGAAAAAAAAGAATAGCAATATTTTAAATTATAAGACTTGTGGTGCCCTGGCTAATATGGCTCAGTAGATTGAATGCCAGCCTGCAAACCAAAAGGTCGCTGGTTCTATTCCCAGTCAGGGCACATGCCTGGGTTGCAGGCCAGGTCCCCAGTAGGGGGCGCATGAGAGGCAACCACACATTGATGTTTCTCTCCCTCTCTTTCCACCTCCCTTCACCTCTCTAAAAATAAATAAATAAAATATATTTTTTAAAAAGACCTGTGGTACTATTTGACTCTTTAAACTATGTAGTCTTACTATTTTGATTCAAATCTTTTTAATTACTAAAACCTCCAAAATTCTAACACTGTATATGAAAAACCAAGCTTCAGATTGACCAACATTTTAAAAAGTTAAGATCTATCTATACTAGATCTGTCCCAATATGCCATGGTTGCAGATTCAATCCCCAGTCAGGGCACATGAAAGAAGCAACCAATGAATGCATAAATAAGTGGAACAACAAATCCGTATCTCTCTCTCCCTTCCTCTCTCTCTAAAATCAATAAAATAAAACAAAATACTGGATCTGTTATCAATATAGTTAAGGACAGTAGAAAATCCTCCCCCAAACAAAATAACTGAAAGGCTATTATGCTCACTTCTAGAACCTGTGCCCTGAATTCAGCACTAATGGAAGCAGGCCGCCTAATGTGACCTGAATCTCTGCCACAGCCTGGGTGTCACCAGTGCTCACCACCCCAGAGCTCACGCCATGTCACAGGTCAACTATGTGAGGAACTTCCAGGTCACTACCAGAAATCGTGACCAAGATTAATTGTAAAGGTAAACACAAAAACAGAGGGATAAATCTAAAACTCAGTTACTTAGATCCTTTTTAGGACTTGTTTTTAATTAAATGCACTAACTGAAAAATAAAACCAACATATGCTAACAAAACATCTTTAGAAGCTGTAAGAGATTATTAATTAGATTAAAAAGGTGATGACAAGGAGAGCTGAAACCTAGTTGTTGATGACAACAAAATGACTCTTCTCACCCTGGGCTAGCCACGCCTCCTGACACTAACCCTCAGCTTCCAGGGGCCATTCCTCACTAGCACACCCCAAATATAAAGGCAGAGAAGCATATACAAAGAACAGTCAGAAATAAGGAAAATCCAGCGAAGACAGTCTCCATATGAAAAGGCCTGAAAGAAAACTTAAACAGATGCTCCATGAAAAGCTGACCGAGACTTCACAAGGACAGAAGTATCACGCCTCATTTCAAAGATAATATCTGGCCCTGGCTGGCGTAGCTCAGTGGACTGAGCGCAGGCCTGCGAACCAGAGTATCGAGGTTCGATTCCCAGTCAGGGCACATGCCTGGGTTGCAGGCCAGTTCCCAGCAGGGGACTCAAGAGAGGCAACCACACATTGATGTTTCTCTCCCACTCTTTCTCCTTCCCTTCCCCCTCTCGAAAAATAAGTAAATAAAATATTTTTTTAGAAAAAAGATAATATCTGAAGTTCCGACTTGCCACGGACAGTCTAATACCAAAGCTGTGACTTTTACTGTCGACTTGACAAGTCTCTTCTCTCTCACTCTCATACCCTTAAGCCATCAGATACACAGAGGTTTCCTGCTGAAATGCTAGAAAAATTTTCATATTTCCACTCCTTGATCACTAGTGATGGGCAGCTAAACCAAGAATCTACTTTAAGTTAGGAAAACAGGGCGGGCTGATCAAATCACACAAGGTACTGAATTGAACAGGCCCATCTGGGCTTGGAGGAAGAGTACTGTGATTTCTGAAAAGAAGTCAACATACCTGCGGGTAAAAATGCTTCCATGCTTTATAATGGAGATTCGGCTACTAATTCATTTGTACATCCAACAAGAACCATGCGTCACATTAAGATGTATGGCCTAGATGAAGAGTATGATAAGAACATCTGTGCGCACTCTCTCTCTCTAGCCCCATAAGGCTTACAAAAAATAGTAATATTCCCTAGAAGTAGGTTTTCTGTTTCCTAAATAGCAGGTCTGGCAAATTAATACTCCATCATCCCCATAATCTAAGAACTGCTCCCCAATAATCGCTCATCTTACCAACTTCTAAGATCCTAAAAGTTTAAGACCTAATCCAACCACACAAGTTTAATTTGTAGGATCTAAAAGAAATCAAGACTAAAACAGACTTTATCCAGGGAACTTCTTACAGAAAACATGTTCCACCATATAACTTCAGATTTTTTTATGATAATGATGGTTTTAGTATTAACACCAGTAAACCAGTATCTGTGGAAAGAGCTGACAGGAAAAAAAGTCTCTACTATAAGGCTGAGCTCAAAGCTCACTATGCTAATTTACTCCTTTTTGGAGAGCGCACTCTCTCTGCAGCCTTGCCTCCTACCACTCTGCTTTTCACTCCCTGAGGTCCAGGCACACTGGAACTCCCTTTGACTCTTCAGAACAGCCATGTTCTTGCCCCCCTCAGGATATCCACCTGTGCCATCTCCTCTGCCCAGAACAGTCTTTGGTCCTCCCCTCACCTTTTAGGTTCAGCCTTAAAAGTATCTCCCTCACAGACCTTCCCTGACCGTCCTCCTTCCCTGTCAACCTGGGTTAGGCTTGCAATCAGCTGTCTCCATAGCATTTACAGCAAAAGTAATTATTTGTTTAATGGATCTCCCCCTCTAGACCATAACTGCATGAATGCGGGGACTGAGTCAGTTTTGTTCAATGCCATATCTCCAGGACCTAGCACAGTGCTTGGCACACAGCAGAGGCTCAAAAATTCTTATCTAATAAGTGAATAACACAGCCCCCCAAAAAATCAGCTTCAGCAACTCTACTTATAAGGGGTGGGCTAAGTAGGTTTGTAATTGTGACAAAACACAGACTTTATTCTTATATTATTACTTATTAAAAAGAAAAAAGTATAGTGTATTGCCCTGGCTGGTGTGGCTCAGTGGATTGAGCATGGACCTGTGAAGCAAAGGGTCGCCGGTTTGATTCCCAGTCTAGGGTACATGCCTGGGTTGCAGGCCAGGTCCCCAGTAGGGGACACATGAGAGGCAACCACCACACACTGATGTTTCTCTCCCACTCTTTCTCCTTCCTTTCCCCTCTTTCTAAAAATAAATAAGTAAAATATAAAAAAAAGGAAAAAAACTATAGTGTATTAATAGTGTGCTATACTTGCTTTTAAAAAAGAAAGAACTATACTTATTTGCTTCACAGGTACATGGTATCTCTAGAAAGGATCTTAAGAAACTGGTCATGTTGGCTGCCTCTGGGAAGATGACCTGGATTATGAGTAGACTAAAGGTAAAAGGTAAGCTAGTCACTGTACAACTTTTTTATCTTTCGAAATTTGAACCACATTAATGTACTGTCTATTTAAAAAGTAAAATTTGCTAAAGACAGTCCTGTCCTTATTCCTAAGACAGTGATGAAAAGAGTTTAAATGTTCTACATCTGGACCTCTGATGACAAATGTCTGGCCTACTAGCTGAGCACTGGCAGGGCAGAGGTGGAAAAAAAGAACACTCAGCCATAAATCTCAGACAGCTTTCCCCACACTAAATTACATTGCTTTAGAAGAAAAATTCCACTTTTTATTTTGGAACCAAATGTCCCAATCTGTACATATGGAGAATGTTTTCAATCAGAAGGGATTATTGGGAGAAATTATTGGATTCAGCACTTTTATAAGCATAAAAAGTTGATGAATCTGTACTGAAGAAATATAAACATTGACTAAAAATAAGTGATTTTCATTGAAGGGCCTTAAAATCTAAATGGAGCTTAATTTAAATCCACAAAGTTTAAGAAACTAAATTTTTTTGGAAATCAATTTTAAGAACGGGGAGGAAAGCTACACACATTCCTTAAAATACAGATTTGCCAAACTTTAAGATACTCTTTAGGAAAGAAAGGTCTGAAACTTATTTAAATACAACTCCAATAATCATATTTGTTATCACAATCAAAGCCCTGGACCAGCCCTAGCCAGATAGCTCAGTTGGTTAGAGCATTGTCCTGATACACCAAGATTGTGGGTTCAATCCCTGGTTGGGGCACATACAAGAATCAACCAATGAATGCATAAATAAGTGGAACAACAAATTGATGTTTCTCCCCATCTCTCAAATCTATTTAAATAAATAAATAGCAGCAGCAGCAGCCCAGGACCAGAGTTAAAACCTTTGGTTCTGAACCTGTGAAGTTTCCCAAACCTGCATATCAGGAACAGAATACGCTGGACTAATGATGGCAGGAGAAAGCCGAATCCAGGGCCACCAACGAGAGGATCTGTCTTGGGGTCTCCAATGTTACAAGAACCAATGTCATAGAGCGAAAGAAATGATCTTCATAATCCATCCCAAGACCTATCGGAGACACTGTTATCTTCAACTAATTATCCCCTGAAAAACAAAAGGGTATTTACTAAGTAGAACATACTGAAAAGGACATTTACTAAGCAGAACAAAGTATTTAGCATAGCCATTCTAAATTGTTATGACTTTGCCAAGCCTAAACGGCAAGCTAGAAGCCAATTCCTAGCTCCCCCTTTGATAACTTATTGGCCTCCACAGGCTCTTTCTGCATTAGCAAATGTACCACCTTTTCCCCCTACTAACCTTGTTTTTCTCCATAAAGTTCTGAGCAGCATTTTAAATACCATTCTATATAGTATGCCAAATAGTGCCCGTGAACTTAGCCTGTGGCTCCCCAAGCCCAAAGGCTGAGTGAGAGTAGAGAAATAAAGAAGTCGGAAATACTCTCTCTTCCTCAATGCCCTGGACTTTCAAAGCTGGACAAAGGCAATGATTCTGCACTTAATCACAAGATGAATAAGAAACAGATTTGAATTCAGAAAAAACAGAGGAGTACAAAACCATTCGGTAGAGTACTGCCTCCATTTCCTTGTAGAGCAGCTCTCAGGATCTGCCCGTGAAGCTCATTTTGACACGGAACACCCCATCTACTCTAATTTGGGGCATATCCCTCAAGAGACAGTCGACCGGAACACTGCCAACTTCTGCTCAGGAGTTGTGTGAAGAACAGTAGCAACAAGGGCCTACTTTGAGAAGGAGATCAACAATCACATTCAAGAAGAAAAGAAGTTACTTGGCAAAAAGAAGCATGTTGCCAAAACGTTAGTCACAGCTTCAAGGCCCCGGTTTGTGTTTCTGAAACTATTCTTTGCTCTGACAGAGTCCATTCTCCGGCCCAGGAAACCCAGCTTGGCCTCTGTCACCCACCTCATCAGAAGCAGTCAAGAATCCTTTCAGTTTGGTGGTATCAAACTGTGACACAGACAAGATGTCCACCAGAGACTAAAAGGGAGGAAAAAAAAATGTAATTTGCTGTTTCCGCTTAGGACTGGACCAAGTAGAGCGGTGAAAAACACAACAGGATAGGAAAAAAAATGAAAAATCATTATGTTAAACACGCAGGCTATACCCAACGGCCTTCCCAAAGCTCTAAGCCTCCATAACTTATTTCAAAACCTTCTCTAAAATAAACCAAAAGCACACACAGTAGGCTGAAACAACAGCAAAATATGAAGCAAGTTTCTACTCCCAAGTAAGTGTACTTAATTCAGTCTACAGCTAGCTCTTCCTAGGTTAGTATGAAGACTATGTTTTGCTGAAACAGCCTGAACCAGCACCATGATTTTCAGAATTACTTCAAGAGCAATAGGAAAACAGGCTCAAGTACACCCTGTTACTCTCCCAAAGAGCCCAAGAAGTCAATAAAAAACATCTAACAATTTCCAATAGAAACAGGATCCCTCTCTTCCTTTCTTAAAAGCAAAACCTGAAAACTCCACCGTCCCCCTTCCCCTGCATTTCACCTTTGTGCTGACATCATGGAGTAACTAATCAGTAGCAACTAAAGTAAACACTACTCTGATAGGAAGTGTGAGAGAGTGAAAAACTGCCCCTCTTAAGCAAATCCACGTCAGACCTCAGAAATGCCGAAATGCCGAGACTTTCAGGAACACTTGCTCATAGGTGAGCCAGAGAAGCTCACCTACGAGCAAAGTGTTTAGGGCATTATGCCCAAAATAAAAGCTCAATCAGTCGATATTTCAAAGGATTAACAGATGGGTTTAAATTGTCCACAGACACTATGGCAACGGGGCCAAAGTGACTGGACCAAAGTAATTGTCTAAAATACCACACTTCTGTGAACTTTCAAAAAGATCCTGAGGAAAGTCAGGGTTTGTCAAGAGTAAAGTGATTAAAAAATGGAAAAAAAAAAAAGGTTTAAAGGGTACTATATTCTGGTGGCAGACAGCATTCTCCAATATTCTCATTCTCCATCAAGAGACCTCATTCACCCCAACTCTAATTTCCCTATCTCAATCTTGAGGGCAGACAATACAATTAACACAGTAATAGGAAATTTTTGGCTACGAAAATTTGAAGTTGAGAAAAGCTTAAAAAAATGGACCTGTATCAAATCTCCACTTCCCTAGCCCAGTAGCTCCACATACCAAAAAAGTTTGGGGTTCAATCCCTGGTCCAGGTGTGTGAAGGAGGCAACTGGTCATCGATGCTTCTCTCACACTGATGTTTCTTTTTGCCCTTCTCTCTTCTCTCTCTCTCTCAAATCAATAAATATATCCTCAGGTGAGGATTAAAAAAGAAATAAATCAGCAACTCTTCCCTAGCACATAAATGCAGCAAGGCTGAGAGGAAGAAAATGAGAAAGACCAGTCTTCTAAATATCAATGTGCCAATCTTGTTTTCCAAGATCACTTCTTTAAAACTGCGTGAAAGATCCCATTTGGTGGACACAATCTTTTAGAGGCAGTGAGGAGACCAAACCTATTTTTCAAAGGGAAAAAAATGAGACAGTTGAACAACTGGCCTCAAATTGTTAATCTTAGTTAATCCTTGGGTGGGCTAGAACAGTCATTCCCTGAGGTTCTTTTGCGCCGTGTAAAAGGAGAAAACAGTCACCAAAAACATTAAGTCATTCAGAAACAGCAACTCTAAGACAAAAATAACAACATGAAAATGGAGGGGGATCTTGGGGGAGTCCAAAGCAGTAACAGATTATTCCAATCCCTTTAAAATTACCAATTCCAGTGTACACCAGCTCTTCCAGTTTGTCGCCCCTGTGTTATCTTTTGAGAATTTTCCTTCCTGATTAGAATTTTCCTTCCTGATTAGAATTTTCCTTCCTTTCCTTCCAACAACACACACAGCCCACGCCGAACACTTGAAGATTTCCACCTTCCCTTACTTCACACCACTCCAAACTGAAGCCTCAAGTCGGCTATGGCCAACTGCATCTCAACATTTCTCAGTCCAACCTTGACCCAAGCGTGATTCCTACCAAACGTTCGCTCTCAAGATTCCCTCCAGAGTAAGCAGTTTCCCGAATCAACCTCTCAACTGTTGGTTCTCACTCAAGTCAATCCTCCAAATGTCACAGTGGCCTCCTCACCCGCAGCATCCTGTTAATTACCTGTTCCCAACAGGTCCTCCCTCCCCAACTCCCTTTTTGAGCACGGTTACCTCGTTCCGCGCACTGAGTCGCAGTCTTACTCACCTTACCCAACCCTCAGGATCCTTTATTTCCTTCCTCTTAATAATATTCCTCCACATTTTCACAGACAGCGCTCTCCCCACACCAATTCCCAACCACTCCCCTCACTTAGATTCCTCACGCCCCCTCTTCTCCAGGTTCTTCCGACCCAGCCCCCGTACTCCCTCCCCTCAGGCCCCGCCCCCAGGACCCCTCATTCCTTCAGGCCCCTCCTCCAACGCCCCTCTCCCCCGAAGCCCCGCCCCAGCCCCCCTCTTCCCCGGCTCTCCTTCCTACTCAGGTCCGCAGGTCACCTCAGCGACAGACCCAGACTCTCTCGCCCCTTTCCGACCTGGCCACAGCGGCTCCAAGAGCAAATCCTCCACCACCTCCGCTCCAGCTTTGTCCCGTCCTGCTCGACCCCCGCCCGGCAAGCTCTTTCTCGCCGCCGCCGCCCCTTTTGCCAACCCGGAAATGGATCTGCTCCCACCGTCCCCAGCGTCTGCGAACAAAATGGAGGCGGGGGGGAAAAGGAGCAGGGAGCCGGGAGCGAAGAGACACTATACGCATGCGCCTCCGAAAAGCCCACCTCCTACCGGAGGCTGTGAAAGCGGAAGCGGTTCCGTGGCCACCATCTTGGGAAGGTCGCAGGAATTTCTCCCACTAGCTAAGAGCAAGGTTTGCAACTTTGGTTCCAATTATAATCACCTGGGAACACTTAAATAGTGATACCCGAGTTGCACTCCCAGAGATTGATTTAATTGGACTGGGGGACAGTGTAGGCATCCGGCCTTTTGAAACTGCGCAGATGATTCAGCTGTTGCCGAGGTGGCTAATTAGTGAGCTAAACAGGATCTTGAGTATACCTCTTTTTCTTTATCCCACAGCGCGCGTATATAAACACACCTCACAAATGCCCTTCCTTAATTTCTAGTTAACGAAGACCTCGCCTCAGTCAACCTTGCAAGAGCCCAGTAGTCAAGCTTCGGTTGTCATAGCAACTGAGAGGCAGGCCTCCTGCCAACAAATCATCGTTAACGTCAGCTCAACCACCTGACTAGAACACTCGCGAACACCGGTATCCACTTTCCATGGTCGGAGATTTCCCAGATTCCAGGGGTGGAGGATGGTGCCGCAGTCTACTACAAATGCTTGGGTCTGGGAGAGGAATTGCCCCTCCCTGTTTGGGCTGCCAACTCCATCCCGGCTCACAGGATCCCTCCCTAGTCCACCCACAAAAGTACCTTTCTGCTTTAACCAAATCCATTGTCTTCAAAATGCTCTCCATCGTCCTTCCCCTCCCCTGAATCTGAAGTAAGGGGACAGGATTGGGACTACTACCTGTGTGCCCTTGGGCTTCAGCTACCCCAACTGTAAAATGGAGCTAATAGTGCCTGTCTCGACTGTTTCATGGGCTCAAATCAGGTAATGAATGGGAATGCATGTGATAAGCCAGAAGTTATTATTATTTTTGTTTGCCATGAGTAGTACTGAGTACCACCCACTAGTCAAGTGAATGTCACAGCATCCATTGAGGACCTGCTGTGGGCCAGGCACTGGGCTAGGCACCGGGAGACGACTGCGGAAGTGACTAAGGCCGAGCATCTCCCCTGGGGCACTCACTGTGTGGTGGGCAGATTGACATGTAAACAGCTAGCTGAGATATAAATCAGCATGTGATTAGTGCTATGGGGACATATGGGCTCCTGAACATCAAGCCAGACAGTGACTAATTCCTGCTAAAGAATGGAAGAAGATTTCATAAACAGTTTTAAACTCAGCTTTGAAGGATGAGTAGAATTTTATTATTAATCAGAAGGCAAGGAACACATTCCAGACATAGGGATCTGTGGGTGCAGAGGTAAAGATTTTCAGGTATGTAGTCTTACATGCCCGAAATTAAGGTGATAGGGCCAGGTGGATCTAAACTCCCAGCTCTTCAGCCTTGTTTTTCTTCTGTCCCATCCTTGCTGGCTATACACTGTGCAGAACTGCTTTCTCCTGCAGTAACGCACCAAGTGGTCCCTCGGGGTCTTTGTATTGGCTTTACTCTGCCTCTTCCTCATTTTTCAGGCCTCTGCTCAAATGCCCCCTCTTCAGAGCGCCTGCCGTGCCCACCACAGCTAATATAAGTCCCCATTCTCTAACATCACTGTACGATAACGGCAATCACTGGGATGGAATAGAGGGACATCTCATGCAGATTTAGGGATATAGGAGTAGGCTTCATAAAGAAAGTCACATCTAAGTGAGGACTGATGGATAAGTAGGAATTGGCCAAGGGCAGAGGTGGGGGAAGAAGCATTTCAAGGCAGAAGTGGAGCATGTGCAAAACAATAAGAATTACAGCACATTCTAAAAACAAAGCATTTTGATGTGGTTAGAACTGTGGGAGAGGCAAGAAATTAGATGGAAGAAGTAATCACAGCATCTGAAATTTGTTAGCACTACCATGTGCCAGGCACTGTCTTAACTTCATAGGCCATAACTCTTTTAATCCTTGTGGGAACTTTCTGAAGCAGGTATTATTACCCCCATTTTAGACATGAGGAAACTGAGACACAGCACAGTTAACCGCCTTGCCCCCCAAACCACATACCTAAGAAGCAGCAGAACTGTCTCCAGAAACTGTGCATACCAAATGACCCAGAATCCTATCAGACCCAATGTCCCTATATTATAACAACTATGTGTGACTTTGCTCTCCCCAAGTGAAATTAACAGATAGTATAACCTATTTGACTTCAAAAAATAAGTCAACATAATGCCTTAACAATAGCGAAGACAAGTAAGAGGAAGGTAGTTTAATATGTCCGTGCTCAGGCACCACTGTGCCAGAAGATACATGGTACAGTGGTCAGCTGAGGGCACTCACACGTAGGCTAGAATCACTAAGAACATGACAGTAACAAGTGCAGACTGACCTAAGTGCGTTTTGTTGGGCAGCATTGTCATTTGTGATGTGACTTCCCAAAATGGAGGACAACTCTTTGTTAAAGTTTAGAACAATGCGCTCCCCCCAAAAAATACAGTAGTTGTATTCCTAAAAAAGAGATTATATTAACAATGTGCAAAAATGTTTCATATTTGTACTTTCATTTTTCTTTTTTAAGATTTATTTATCTTTAGAGGGGAAGGGAAGGAGACAGGGAGAGAAACATCAATGTATGGTTGCCTTTCGTGCATCCTCTGCTGGGAACTGGCCTGCAGGGAACCGGCCTGCAACCCAGGCATGTGCCCTGACTGGGAATCAAACTGCGATTTTCTGGTTCGCAAGCCCGTGCTCAATCCACTGAGCTACACCAGCCAGGGTGTACTTTCATTTTCTAATAATATGCCAGGCTAAGTACCTTAGAAACCTCCTCCCTAAAAGCAACTAAAAATCCTGGGTAAAATATTTTTTAAATCTTAAATGCTTTGATGAAAGTAGGGAATTTTCAGGGCAAAATAAAGTAAGTAGAGGCAGGGGACACACACACACACACACACACACACACACACACACAGATAAGTGAGACACTGAAGCAGGCCTTTGCTCCGAAGACACTTGCCTGCCAGGTGAACGTGAGCTTTTGTCAGTGTCTCCTGGGAAAAAGGAGCACCCCCAAACCTCAACAGGGGAGTTTCCAGGAGATCTCCCTCCTTGGAGATGGGATCCCAAAGGACCACGGATTCTCATGATCCTGAAAGTAAACCAGTCCCTGCCTCCCTTGGGTGTAAGGTTAATGGAGACGGGTTCTAAGCTCAGGTGATAATGAATAGGTTCTTCCACATGGAACTCCCAGTAAGACAATTGAAAGACATGTGCATCTCAGGATACTTCCTGGTGGACCCATCCCTCACATTGGAGTACTCCAGCACCTTGACTGCTGCTCACCAAATGCCATCCTTATCACTGTGATAAACAAAAGACCACTACAGATTTGCAGACTGCCCTCCCAGAGAAATGAAGGACCCCGGTCCCGTGCTACCCTGTCTAGTTAACAAGGGCCAATTTGTGAGGGATTGTATTATCTATTGTAGAAAGTTGAATTTTATCTCGAGCTCAAGAGGAAAACCATTGGAAGGTTTAAGCTCAGTAGAGCCATGACCCACTTGGCCCTCTAGAAAGAGTCCTCTCACTAAAGCGTGGAGGACAGATTAGATGGGGCCAGGTTGGCAGCAGGAACCCCAGTTGGGAAGCTGTTGTGGACATCTAAGTGAAGAAACGATGGTGGCCTGCACTGAGTGGCAGCTGGGCATTGCTGGGCACAAAGGCTTTAGACACAGGGCTGCCTGTCTGCAAAGTCCAAGGCCTCAAGCCTTAGTTCTCCCCACTGCTGAGTAGGGTGAGGTTTTGGGCAGTTTACTCAACGTCCACACATCTCGGGCTTCTTATCTGAAAACCCGAGATCAGACTGAATAGAATACATCTGAACTGTATACATACTTGGTAAGAGAGGGAGGGGCCAATGATGATTCCCAAGTTTCTGGCTTGTGCAGGTGATGCCAACACTTAGCTGGAGAGAGTCAAGAAGGAAGAGAGGCTGGGGAGGGGCAATAACCCTGCACAAGTGACCCTGGAGGGTGAAGGTGGGAAGAGAGGTCTATAGGCAACTGAACGTTTAGATCTGGAACCTAGAAGAGCAGTCGGCAATTTTGGACCTACCAACTGTGGTAGCTAGTTTCCAAAGACAGCTCCCAAAGACTCAGGACTCCTGGTATTCATTGCAGTCAGCTGGCCTTTGACTATACCAGGTCCAGATGTGAGCCTTGAGAAGAGCTGGCAGCTTCATTTGCTTTGGGGACCCCTAAGCTCCCATGTGAGAAGTCAGCTACTTTTCTGTACAGACCTCCTGGAGGAGAGGCCTTGACATGGAGAGAGGTCCAGCCGACCCAGTATTCCAGCTGTTCCTGCCGGGGTCCCAGATGAGTGAGCCAACCATCTTGGACAGTTCCAGTCACCTCCTCACTGCAGCCACATGAGACACCCCAAGTGAGACAGCAAAACTGTTCAGCTGAGCCCCCATCAACCCAGAGGATTGCGAGAAGCTATAAAATGGTTATGGTTTTGAGCCACTAAGTTTGGAATAATTCAGGATGCAGCAATAGGTCCCCAACAAAAATATGTGGATGAAATCTAAGCCCAGGTTTATGGAGGGAAGAGAAGACGCCGCAGAAAGAAGCAGTCAGACCCGTTCCTGGGGTTTGGTGACATGGCAATCAGCGACCTCAGTGAGAATAGTTGCAGTGCGCAGTGAAGGCAGAAGCAGAGGCACTGGGTTGAAGAGTGAAAGGGAAGAAACGCAAAGCAACAAAACTGAACAAACTGAAGTGCACATTTATTTTCTTAGAGTTACACATATTGACCTGGATGAATCTCACACACATAACATTCAGGAGAAAAGTTGCTGAACACTACATACTGTAGTGTTTATGTAAATTTAAAAATGTGCAAATATTAAAAAATTATTTAATTCACCAATAAAAGGACAAACAGCCCAATTAAAAAATGGGCAAAGGGCCCTGGCTGGTGTAG